GCAACCATTATTTTAGAATAAAACCCACCGTTCTCATCAGGGCCTCCATGTTCCTATATATGTTCCTCCAGGTTCCTATATGAACCTCTCCATTCGTAGGGTTTTTTCCACTCTCTTTTATTCTCTGGCCCAGGGTTTCTTTTTTTTTTTCTTCATTAAGTTTATTGGTACATTTCAGGTATACAATACAGTCACATTCATCATTGGAATCTTGTACCTTTACATGATGTATCTTGGTTCTTATTTGTTCCCAATCCCCTGTCCTCCCTTCCCTATTTACAAAGACTTTGTTTCCATTTTTTCCTTTTCTCATATTTTTTTCTTCCCCCTTCTTTCCTTTCCCCTACCCCTCCCACTACTCCTTTAGACCTTTTCTTCCTATTTCGATTATCAATTATACATTTTGATTATTTACACTTTCAGTTTTTCACACCAGAGAAACTATTCAGTATTTACATATGTGTGTCCTATTTATTTCACCTAAGAGTATGGCTTCAATGTGCGTCCATTTAGCTATAAATGTCTCTAGTTTCTCATTCTTTATAGCTAAGTAGTATTCCATTTTATTTAAAAACCACATCTTCTCTATCCAGTCTCCAGGTGATGGGCAATTGGGCTGTTTCCAAGGTTTAGCTATTGCAAACAGTGCCACTATTAAACATGGGTGCACATATATCCCTGTGGTATGATTCTTTTAATTCTTTTGGGAAGATACCCAGCAAGGGAATAGCTGGCTCAAATGGGATCTCTAATCCTAGTTCTTTGAGGTGTCTCCATATTGATTTCCACAGTGGTTGCACCAGTCTACACTCCCACCAACAATGAAGAAGGGTTCCTTTCTTCCCACAACTCTACCAGCATTTGTTATTGGTTGATTTCATGATAGCAGCCATTCTTTCTGGGGTAAGGTGGAATCTTAGTGTTGTTTTCATCCACATCTCTCGAATGACCAGTGATGTTGAACATTTTTTTCATATGTTTATTTGCTGCTTTTACTTCTTTGTCTGAGAAATGCCTGTTCATTTCAGATGCCCACTTTTGGATTGTGTCTTTATATTCAGGGGGTCTGATTTTTTTGAGTTCTTTGTATATTTTAGATAGTAGTCCTTTGTCTGAGGAACAGCTGGTAAAAATTTTTTCCCACATTGTAGGAACTCTCTTAGCTCTGTTGGTGGTTTCTCTTGCAGTGCAGAAGCTTTTTAATAAGATGAGATCCCAGTTGTTGATTCTTTGTGCTAGTAGTTCCCGTGCTACTGAGAATTTTCCTATGCTAAGGTCTTTGAGAGTTCTACCTAACTTATCTTCTACCAAGTTTAGTGTTTCTGTTTTAATATTTGGATCTTTAATCCACTTTGATTTTAGTTTAGTGCATGGTGAAAGATAGGGGTCTAGTTTTAATCTTCGGCAAGTTGAAATCCAGTTTTTCCAAAACCATTTATTAAAGAGGCTATCTTTCCTACAGTGAGGATGGTTGGCTCCTTTGCCAAAGATGAGGAGGGTCAGGGATTTAGCTCAGTGGTGCTGCCGCCTGCCTCGCAAGCTCAAGGTCCTGAGTTCGATCCTTGGTACCTCCTCCAAAAATAATAATAATAGATTGTGAGAATATATTTGGGCCAGGGATTTAGCTCCATGGTGCTGCTGCCTGCCTCAAAAGTGCAAGGTCCTGAATTTGATGACTGGTAACAAAATAAATAAATAAATGAAGATGAGGTAGCTGAGTATGTCTGGAGTTGTTTCTGCATCTTCTAGTCTATTCCACTGGCCCTCAGGTCTGTTTCTTTGCCAGTACCATGCTGTTTTTATCACAGTTGGCCCAGGGTTTCCTAACCTCAGCACTAGTGACATTTGGGTTGAGATCATTCTGTTGAGGGCAGCTGTCCTGTGCACTGGAGAATGCTTGGTCCCATCTCTAGCTACTCCCCACTACCACTTCCCTATACTTTCCACAACAAAAATGTCTCCAGACATTGCCAAGTATCTCCTGCAGTGCAACATCATCTCTGACTGACAGCTGCTGGTCTGGTCAAACTGGCTTCCTTCCTGCTTAGGTCCATGAGGTTGCACTTCCCTTGCATGATGCTCTCATTTACATTTTCTCATGACTGCCTCTTCTCTGTTCTGACCTGGGCTCAGGTGTCACCTTGAAGGGTTCTCTTTGACTGTGTAACGAAGGTGCCCCTTCCAAGTCACCCCATTCCACATCACTGCATTTTAATATGTGAATACCCTCCAGCAGCATCCAAAATAATCTTGTTTACCTATTTGCTCAATGTCTCCCCCATTAGGTTCCCCCATCATGAGTCTTGTCCCCATGAAGTGTCCCTAAAATGACAGTAACAAACAACAAATGAAGAATGGACACATAAATAACTCCCTTCTCCTTTACCGAGATTCTTGGCAGGTCAGGGAACTGAGATATGAGGGGATTACGAATGCTGGAATAATTCCAGGATGTGAGTACATGCATGTACCGAATAACACCATTTCTGGCAACAATGGAAAACATATAGAATGGCAGCCACAGAGAGATAGTAGCTCCTCAATCTGTCTCCATCTTAGCTTGTATAAATACGATGTTCACATAGCAACAGATTCACCCAATGACACATTGCTCAGAATGAACTCCTGTCACTAGACTATTTGAGAAAGTCTCTGGGGAAGGATGGAGGATGTTTTATTGGCTTTGGCATCATCTTAGCCTCAGCCTTCTTAGTTTGATAAGCTATATGCCAGGGGTCCCAGGTGAGGATCCAGGCTTCTGATGGAGCAGGTTCCACATGGCCTTCTTGGCTATGGCAGATGGGTCACTTCTGGGATAGCCCGAGCAGACACGCAGGGGACCAAGAACAATCTGGTCTTGGAGAGATGACTGATTGGAAGGGGGTGAGAAGTGTCACCTCTGGTGCAGGAAGCTCCTTCAGGAAGGGGCTGCCCTGCTGGGAGTCAAGGTGTGTCGGGTGTAGGTTCCCCTCCCTCCAAGGCCCTGGCTCCACAGCTTCCCCTCCAAGTCCTGTGGGATGTGGTTCTGTGTGGCCTCAAACTCAAACTCTTAGCTCTTTTATTTGCAAATACCAAGGCCAATTCTATCTATTTTTTCCAACCACTCTGAGGGTGCTGATGCAGTGAGTCACTGTTCTCTTCATTGTCTCCTCTGCTCATGCTCTTGGCAGGCTTCCTTGTGGAAATAAAATCCTTTGCAAGATTAATATTAACCAAGAAGATACATTTTTTCCACTGTTGTTTTTTTACATCTCATCTTTCAATCTCAATAGACTTGGCTTGTTGCAACTACACTACATTACAATTAAATATCAGAGGCAGGAGTTGAGAGGGAAAGCAGTATTGACAGAATTCATGTCAAATACTGAAGTTTGCAACATAAAAATGAATCATGTTATTATTTCCTATATGGGTACAGCTGCTCACAGCAGCAAGCTCACAGCAAGCAAAAGTGTGTGTCAATTAGCACATAACACATGCCCTGTGGACTTGAGCTAAGCATTCAGCATGCTTTGTGGCTTTTGTCTCTGAAGCATGGGGGTAGGAATTTTAGCAAGTGCCTGTGGTTTTCACTCCATAGCATCCGTGTGCAGCCAAGGCTGGATTATCCGGTATCTATGGACTCACGAAAATTTGTCATTATGCCTCTGGTCAGCCTCCAGTGTAAGGGGCTCCTCTGACTGCAGTGGCTCTTCCTCCTGGATAGATCTTGAGGACAATGCTAAGAAATACCTTAGAAAAGGAATTGGTGAATTACTGCTTAAAGGCAAGACTCCAGATCATTTTACCAAAGACTTACTGAATTGTCTCACACACACACGCACACGCGCGCACACACACACACACACACACACACACACACACACACACACACACACACTGGATGCCTTGGCTAAAAGTTAGCTCTAAGAGTTTTGAAATCTTGGTGGAATATACGTGATTCTAAACACAGCTGGGAGCTTTTGTGTCTCAGAAGTGTGCCAGTTAATCTGAAGTGTCAATTCGACTGGATTAGTAGACTAGAGTGATGAATGGATCACAGGGCACTATAGTTGGTGGATTAATCTACTAATGTTCACAGCTGAATGAGCTGGTAGGAGGTGGGGCTTAGTTGGAGGAAGTGGGCCACTCGGGGATGTGCCTGTGAAGGATGTATCTCTTGCTGACATTGTTCCTCTGTGTTTTTCCTGGTTGCCATGAGGTGAGCAGCCTTGCTCCACCACATCTTCTCCCATCATATTTCTGCCAGCTGACCAAGGGCTGAAACCACGAGCCAAAAATAAAGCTTTCCTCCTTTGAGTCACAGGTGTCAGGTATTTTGTCCTAGCAATGGGAAAGTTGAATAATACAAGAGGCTAAGCCTTATAAGCCCCTTTTGGGGGCTGGCTCCGGTACAAAATCTACTTCTAATACACAAAGACAAAGATGCGTTTTGCTGGAGGAGAACCATGAAGCAATGCTGAATGCACATGTGTTGACTGAAAGGCAGGTCTTCTGTCTAACCCTATAAAGCTCTCACCTCCCCACGTAACCACTGCACACCATCTCACATTGCCCACTCCATTCCATATTTCCTGTGACATATATCCATCTAATCATTATCTGCATGTGTGTGTCCATTTTTATCAAGCAATTTGTGATAGAGAATATGAGTGCATCTCCTCCACTGTGGGCTTGGCTATGGGTATGGGGACAACCTGACTCGCAGACATTCCTTGGGGAGTGGTGCTGTGGAGGGGCAGCTACAGGCTTCTGCTTGCCTGGGTTTCCTGAGCTACCATGATGGTACAGCACACATTGTATGGTTTCAAGCAGTAGGAATTCATTCTCTCACACGTCCGGAGTCTACAAATCCAAAAGCAGAAATATTCCTCCTGCAGCTCTAGGAGAGCCCTTCCTTGCTCCTGGTGTTTGTAGCAGTCCTTGGAGTTTCCCTGCTCCCATCTCTGTCTTTGTCATCACATGGCCTTCCTCCATGTCTCTACATCCAAATTTCCTCTTCTTACAAGGATATCAGTCATATTGGCTTTAGGGTGCACTCAACCCGGGATGACCACATCTTGACTTGATTACATCTGCAAGGAACCTACTCTTGCATAAGGTTACATTCACAGGGTCTGGGTGGACATCAGTTTTCAGAGGCATCTTTCAACTCAGTCCAACCTTTCAAACTGGTATGAGCTGGTAATGTCCTACATCATATCATTTTTTGGCCTTTAGTGAATATATTTTTAAATCTAGCAAGAAAACCTGGAAAATATAGAAAAGGTTAAATAAGAAAACAAATAAATAAAACTATAATTATGTAATCCACACGGGGTAGCTTTAACCTGCATTGTATCATTCGACATACAGTGAGCCCAACTCCAGAAGAGGCTGCTGTGTCTGAGACGAGTAGTCTGGAGCACAGGGGATAGGCACATAGCATTACAGAAGGTCCTGGTGAGGGGAGTAGAGGAGGAAGGCTGAGCCCACGTGGGAGGAAAGCCTTCCTCTTTTGGGGACTCATGGGGTTGGGCTGAATTCCAAAGAGGATGGACCACAGACCTTCACCATGGGAGACACAGTCCCTCCAAACCAGGCAGGCAGGTGGTGGTGGCAGTGGTGGGGTGTCTGCAGCTGTGGCTTTGAAAGGAGCCACCATTATGGGACGAGTTGCTCTCTGGATCAAACTTCTGTCCTGAAGTCTGCATATTTATATATGCAGATATATATAGATATATATATATATAAAGATATAGATAAATATAGATATGGATAAAGATATATACAGTTATGAAGGCAAAAGTCCAAGATCAAGATGTTGCACAATTGATTCCTCCTCAGGACAAGGAGGAGGCCTCTGTCAGGCCTGTCTCCTGGCATCTGGTGGTTGCCAGAAATCTTTGGTTTTCCTTGGCTTGGAGAAGCATAATCCCAATCTCTGCCTTTATCTTTGCATGGCTTCATTCCTGTATGCTTATCTGTGTCCACATTTCCCTTTTATTAAAAAAAAAAAATGACACTGCTTATACTGGGTTAGGGGCCCACCCTCTTCCACTGTGATCTCATCTGTTTAACTAGTTAACCTGCAACAACCCTGTTTCTAGAAAGGTCACGTTCTGAGGCCCTAAGGGTTAGAACTTGAACCTAAGAATCTGATGGGAGACAAAATTCACCCCGTAGCAAGGCCTTTCCAAGGCACTTCCATGACAATACTTGATTAGTCTCAGAAATTAGTCTCAGCAAGGGAACTTTGTGAGGAGCTAAGAGGTCCAGGCATTGCAGTGACTTCATTGTACAATTGGATTGGGATTTCTGAGTTGGTCAGTTACATTTTAGGAGCTTATCTGGGACTAGTCTGCATCATGAACTGACAGATGCTCCTAGGACCTGTACTGATTTGTATGTGTGTCAGTGACAGTGACACACCAAAGCCATGGGACTTAGGGACAAACACCCACTGGCAGACAATTCCTGGGTCAGTGAGGAAGCTGGAAACAAGTGCCCTGGCCAGTTGCTCTAATCCCCACTGACAGGCAGGAAGTGCTGGCAGGGAAGAAGCTTGCTAAGGGGACTAGAGTGCCGTCTTCGGGAGCTGTGAGGACATCACTCTGGGGTCTCCAAGGAGATGCTGGGACCTTGCACTCCAAATTTCCACAGGACCTGAGCCTTTACCTCCAGGAAGGCTGCTGTGTCAGAGGCCTTCCTGACCTGGGGGCCCCAGCATGGCCTACCTCCCATATATGCAGCCCTTCCCTGACAATACCTGCTGAGTCTCAGAAATGACTGCAGGGAACTCTGTGGGAGGAGGGCACAGGAGAAGGCTTCCCAGATTTTAGAAACAACCTAGGTGAACAAAAGTGAAATGTCCTGGGGGAGCACATGCAGCCAACACCCAAGAGAAGCAGGGGTGGTAGGGAGCTGTGGGTAAAAGGGAAGGAAGCTGAAGCCCACCCCTTCAGGTCCTTGTGTTCAAACCAACAGTACTCAGCATCTCTGGGGACATCTGAAGACCAGAAGCTTAAAGGGTGAGAGCTAGGGAAAGGGTATATGTCTCTGAGTGCTGGTGGAGACCCCCATCCCGGAAAGGTAAGGTGGCGGGAAAAGCCATAGAGAGGAGCATGGGCTGAGGCTCCGGAAGCAAAGTGCAGGTTTGGCTGGCACACTTTCCTCAGTGGAGTAGGGGCTGGGCAGTGAGCTAGTTGGGACCAGGTCAATGGGGAGAAGGGAGCTGGAGGAAGGGACATTGACTGGAAGAACCACTCTGGGAAATGAAGGACAGCAAGTTCTCAGCAGCACTGAGGGGTGGCAGAGGTTGGAACTGCTTCTCGGGGGCTTGCAAGGGTGTAGGCTGTCAGTGGACTCACCTGAGTCAGTGGAGTCCCTTTCAAAAGCCCTGGCACCAGACCCTCTCCCTGGTGTTTCTCTAAAGCAGCCCGGGCTGCTCTCTGGTTAGCCAGTGTGGAAATCACAGCTGTGGAAGGAGGAGAGGAGAAAATCGATGATTCTTTTTTAAATCCTGGGTAAAGAAGGACTCAGGACCCCTTTTAACACTAAACTGAAAATGAGAACAGTCATTATTCACAGAAGAACAAGTTCTGACAGTCTCATTCACCTCTGGAGCTTTAGTAGAGGAGAAGACAGATCTAGGAGCAGCCACCACATTGCCCAGCCGTCTTGGCCCCCAGGTTGAGGTCCTGTCATTGGTAACCGAGCTGCTGCCTCTCAGAATGTCTGTGTCTGAGGATGGAGATAGTGATACTAACAGCGGCCAAAAGATAACACCAGCCCCGAGGAGCACCAAAGAAGGTCACCTGGAGGACAAACAGTGTTTCCCGGGCAGGGCCTGGAAGCACCTCTGGCAGGACATGACAGACAACCTTGTGAAGGGCTGGGGTGGTTTGGGGGTCTGAGATGAGCTCTGATTTTGCGGTGGGTGACCCCACTGAGAGGGCACCCTGACCTCGACCGCACCTGCTTGGAGTAGGAGAGCAGCCAGCATGTCTACATGTAGGCCTGCCTCTTCCTTACAGGGCAAAATAGTTAACCTTTCTGCTGCAGTCAGTGAGAAAATGCCAGATGTCCTCACAGGCTTCCCAAAGTCAATCACTTCGCCATTCAGTGCCTCAGAATTAGTGCCTCAGAAAAACACTGACCTCCCTCCTCAAGGTCTCGCTGCCCTCACTATCTCCTGTCTGTGCTCTTCCTCCTTCAGGCACATTTTCCTATTCATTTAAATCAAATTTCAGAGCAGGAACAATTCAGAATGGCCAATTGTCTTGAATTTATTAGTAGGAAAGCACCAAGGTTCTTCTTACTCAAATTCAAAGTTAAAGGGATCTTATTAAATGAGGTACCAATATTTGTATAGTGGCTGCCCTTTGTGAAGCACATAGCTTTGCATCATCTCACCAAATCATTGAACTCTGAAGACAGATGTAAGTAGTTTTGAAACTTGAAGCTCTCCTGCAATATTGAATACCTAAGGCTTCTTTTTCTAGATCACTGTACAATGAAAAATTTTGGTTCGTATAACTTCTGAGGACAGGGATGGTAAGAATTCACCTTTATATCACAGCTTGCTGGACCCAAGAGCAAGTCCCAGGAGGTGGGGTTTTTGTAGCTGACCAGGTCCTGGCCAGCCCACTTGAGGCTCCCTGTATTTCCCTGTTATCTGGCTTCTTTAGGGGTTGTCCTCTCTGGGATTCTCTTCTCTCCAGGGTACTAGATCCTGGTGAACCTGAGTGTGTCACAGAACCCTACAAAAGCATGCATCCCCTATTTGTGTTGGCATCTGGTCCTATTGTAAAACCACCTCTAGATTCGGCACATGGTCTGTACTGCCATAGCCACAGTGTGAGTTCTGTGCTAGAGAACACGGGCAGCTTCTCAGGGTGGAACTAGCTGCGCAAAGAACACATCAATGTTAGGTGACCTTCCTTTCATGGCTCTCTTCATGTGCACTTGGCACACCTGGTCTTTACACAGCTGGGGCTGAATCATCAAAAAGCCCCACTTCAAGGAACCCATGTTAACTCAGTGCTGGCTTTTCCATGCTTTCCAATATCCACATATTCCCATGGGCTGATAGGTTCAGCAGAAACATAATTAATATTACAAATCTGGGGACATTCATAATATTGCTCCATGGGTTAAGAGTATTTCAGTCTGATCAATACAAGATAAAATGCACATTAACCTTTCACCAAATGGACTGAGCATCTACTGATGCTGCAGCTTAGATCTATTCTTCCCTTGTTGAAAATGGTGATTTTCTAGGTGTGCCATTCCTTCTGAGATGATTGGCTAGAATTCTTGTATGGGGACAAACTTACCCTCATGAATTCTTTGGTTATCCTGCCGTAGAGTTAGTTCAGGTACCTGAACAATGAATCCATACCCTACTGCTTTCCAGTGGTGACCAATTTGTTTTAGTATAATTGCTAATATTTTATGTGTTTCAATCTGTTGCTTTCATTATTCTTTCAAATGCTCAAATTGTTCTAACGTAAATCAGTGGGAACTCTTTAAATTTTTGGTTTCTGTGGCCAGTTTTAAATTACCTTACTATACTTTCTTGTCCTTAAAGCACATTCTACTATGTGCAGTCAAAATAATACTGCATGTAAAATATACCAAAGTTACTCTTATTCTGTGAGGCTCCACCAGCAGCTTAATATAATTAGGTTCATTGCACATTTCTTTCTATTTCTAATTGCCTGACAATTACATAACTTAAAGTTTAAAAATGCATGACTTTGTCAACACATCCTCTCAGGTTCCATCCTATAGAAATGAAAGCTCCAATAGGTCAGGTCACACATGTGAGTATGTTTATTGCAGCTTTGTGCTAGAACCTGGAAAGAGTGACCTGGAACCAGGAAAAAGGGGTTACCTGTAAATAACTTTGATTTTAATTTATATATAGTTACATAGATAGCCCAAGTTAAATAATAAACTAGATATAATAACAGAATTAGATATAGCTCAGGAAGTTTAACTTGTACCCTTGTTATCTCCATCCAGTCACTCCATCACTTGTAGCTAAGCATTCCATTAGTCTTTTTTATTCTTCTATTGTTTTTTTAAGGGTAAACCCAAAAGGCAGGATACTATAAAACGGTTCTGTACCTTTCTCTCCTCCCCTTCCCCTTCCCCCATCTGATGATATATCTCAGAGGTCTCTCGCATCAGTGTTTAGGAATCTTCTTGCTTTTTTTACAGTGCCACACATACTATGCTATGGATTATACATTCCTGGTGTTACATAGGCATTTGTTTGTTTCCCATGGTTTATGGTCACATGTAGTGTCACAGTGCCTTTCACAAACTTCATTTTGCCTTTTTTGCCCCAGTATCTCTTTAGGATAAAGTCCTACAGGTGGCATTACTCCCTCAAAGGATACATGCAAAAGGAATTTTAGTATGTATTGCCAAATTCTCTTTCATGAAGCTACTGCTGGTTAGCATTCTTATATGCAAAATGAATTGGAGTGTTCATTCCCTGCTCTACAGCCTTGCCACAGAATGCACACCATATTTATTTGCCTAACTAGTTGTAAGAAATCGCATTTAAGTATAATTTTAATTTCCCATTTCTCTTATTTTGAGGGGAGTTTTATATCTTTTCATGTATTTAAGAGCCACCTGCAGTTTTGCTGAATTATCTGTTGTACCCTTTCCATTTTTTTTTCTGATTGAATTGTTGGTTTCTTCTTAATTTTCCAACTCTTTCCACATGTAGGAAATTAGTTCTTTGTGATAAAAATTACACGTATTTTTCAGTCTTTTGACTTTTCTTATGTTGTTATTAATTAATAAATTTAATTTTCATGAGCTATTTAAGGTTTACAGAAAATTTTGCAAGAAATGCAGAGTTCCCACAAACCTTTCTTTTCTAGGCAGTTTCTCTCCTTACTGGCATCTTGCATTGGTGTGGTTCATTTGTTACAACCAGTGAGCCAATATGAACACATTACTATTCACTAAAGTCCACAATAGGACTAAAGTTTACATTAGGGTTCACCCTTTATCTTCTACAACTCTATGGATTTCAACAAATGTATAATGCCACAGATCCATCATTACACTGTGATGTGGAAGAGAGTCTCTGTCCTCAAAAGTCCCCTGTGCTCAACCCATTCGTGGCTCCTTCCCTCCCTCACTAAAAATCTTGGACCACTTGATTTCTTTCGGTGTCTCAATAGTTTTGCTTTTCCAAGAAGGTCATATGGATCAATAGCACTACACGTAGACTCTTCAGACGGGCTCCTTTCTCTCAGCAAAATGGATTTAAGTTTCCTCCATGTCTTCTGGTAGCTTTGATAGCTCATGATTTTATTGCTGAATAATATTCTATTGGGTAGATGTGCTGCACTTGATTTATCTGTTTATCTACTAAAGGATATTTTATTTGCTTCCATGTTCTTGCAAGTATGAATTGAGCTCCTATAAATATTCAAGTGCATGTTTTTATGTATACATAAGCATTTCAACTCACATGACTAAGTACCAAGGAGCATGATTGCTTGGTCATGTGGTAAGAGTGTGTATAGTTTTGGTAAGAAACTGAAATTGTCTTCCAAAGTGGACATTCCATTTTGCATTCCCACTAGTGATGAATGAAAGTTCCTATTGCTTCACCTTCAGGCCAGCATTTGGCATGAGTGTTTTGGATTTTAACCTTTCCAATAGGAGTTTAGTGGTAACTCATTGTTTTAATTTGCAGTTGCCTAATTCTACATATTGTGTATATGTTCATATACTTATTTGCCATCTGTGTATCTTCTTTGATGAGGTATTTGTTCAGTTTTTTGATCATTTTTTTGTTTTTTATTGTCATGTTCTAAGAGGTGGAGTTGTTTTCTGTTTTTGTTGTTTTGTGCTGGGAGGTGGTCATATTTTGGGTACAGTCTTTTATCAGGCATGTGTGGTACAAATATTTCCTCCCAGTTGGTGGGCTGTCTTTTCACTGTCTTGACAGTGTCTTTCATGGTGTAGATTTTAAAAATTGCAATGAAGTTCATCTTATCAAGTTTTTTCTTTAATAGATCATGTTGAAGAAACAGCTTTTCTCCTATTTTACCTTCAAGAAGCTTTATAGTTGTGCATTTTACATTTAGGTCTATGATCAATTTTGAATTAATTTTTGTGAAATGTATAAAGTCAGTGCCTGCATTCATTTATTTTTTGGCATGTGTGTAAATGTCCAAACTTTCTAGCAGCACTTATTGGAGACTGTTCTTTCTTCACTGAATTGCTTTTCCTCCTTTGTCAAAGATTAGTTGACTATGGGTAGGTCTTTTTCTGTTTTTGTTTGTTTGTTTGTTTCTTTCTTTCTTCTTTTGAGACAGGGCCTCACTATGTAGTTCATGCTGGCTTCAAACTCATTTCAGTCCTCCTGCCTCAGCCTCCCAAGTGCTGGGATTACAGGCATGCACCACCAAGCCTGGCTTGGGTAGGTCTATTTCTATG